AACCACCGGGCTCTCTGGGAATTCGTGCATTTTGTACTCGGCGTTCATTCGCTGTTGGGGTTTTCAGAGGGTTTGCTTCCGTAGTGCACTGCGTGCGCTTCTTCACTTAAGGCTTTGTAGCGGGGACCGCTTCTGCTGTGGCTTTTGTCGCAGCGCTCGCTGTCGCTTGGGAAGGCGTTCTCTTGTTTCCTGACGAGTGTGTGTGTGTGTGTGTCTGTGTGTAGCGCAGGCGCCGCCATGTGGCAGGCTTCGGGAACGCTTCAGCACCGCTTTAATGTAAGACGTTCGGGGTTCGAGTCCCGTTTGCACTCCCAGCATGTGCGTGTGCGTGTTTGTGTGTGCAGTTTGGTGTCGTGCGCATGTCGCCGGCACGTGTGTTTGTGGTCGTGTCGTACGGCGGAGGTTGTTGGCATGCGGTAGCACATGTGTAGCGCTTGTGTGTTGGTTTGCGTTTGCGTCTGGGTGTGTGCATGTAGGCGAATGTTTGCAGATTCGCTTTCGCCGGTCGTGCGGAGCGACGGCGCTGACGTCTGCTTCGATACGCCGGCGAGCGGGCGTATATCGATCGAGGGAGCGTAGAGAGGGGCGTGAGTCGATATCTCGAACCGGCGGCGGGGTGGCGGTGTGGGTCGGGGAGGTCGCCGTCGGCGTGGCGCGGGCGCTGCCATTCATCTCGCTCGCCGGCAGGTGGACACGCGCAGGCGCCAACCCGGGCCCTGGCAGTCGTGCGTGCACTTGTGCGTGTGCGTGCAAGCACACTGCGGGCTGCAAACACCGCCGCCTCGCGGACTGTGACGAATGGAAAGTCCTCACTCCGCTTCGTGGGCGGTGGCCTCTTGAGATATCACGGTCGCACGTAATAAAAAATCCAATAATGTGGTTCGCTAAGAGATGTAATATTGTGACGTCAGTGTTTGTAGGCAATGCGATATTAACAGGGCGTTACTCGAAACTTTCAAACTAATGAGATGGTTGGAACATCCACTTCATTCACACAATAACGTATCAATTTTAACATGCCTTAATTTTTCTAATTTTCAAGGTTATGTCAGGGTGTTCGACATAACAGCACGCCGATTAAATCACCGTATAACAGAGTGAGTGTTTCAGTATTGTGTAAAAAAGGAATATTTTATCACGTTAGGTAATGAACGTTCGGGCAGCACTCTTTGCGTTTTGATATCGCAAGGATGGATATAGGCAAATAATTGCGTTTCGCGAAATACTTTATCCACGGCTGTGCGAGTGGTGGTTAGCAATTAGCCTGCGAATGGAAACTCGTTTGTGCGTGGGGCGCGGAGGGGCGAGCGGGGAGCGGCCCGGGGGAAACAACGCGTGCGCCAAGCGAGCCGATGGGGAATCGCCCGACAGCATCCCTCAGTCAGTCTCCCCTCGTCCCCTTTCACTTTTCGTTGCTAGAGAAGGCGTAGCCCGACTGCATCTCTTTTCGTTCACCCGGTATTTCGGAAGGAGTAAAATGTGTTTGGCAAGTTTTTCATTCCTAAGTTGCGCAAATAGATATTCTCGCACCAGTCCAGAGAAAACCTCCAACACATGTGAACGTGGGAGAAACTTCGGAATTGTGTATGTTAAGTCTGCGAGGTAAGAAAATGCTCGTGCTGGAAGGTTTCGAGTTTGGTTTCCACAAACTTTTAAGCGATGATTTTCGACGTAGTCATATGTGTAAAAGAACGTGCAAATAGTTCTTGAAAACAAGACAGAAGTGGATAAATTATAATCGATCAATGCGATTCTAAGCCGATCACGGCAAAGGAAGAAATCAATCCTCACATTATGCAGGGAAGCAGAACGGGGTGGGGTGGGGCGCTGTCTTTTTGGGGAGGAAGGCGTAGGAAAGGTCGAGCGCGCGGTGCTGTGGGGAGACGCACTCTTGCGGGCGAGCGCTGCGGAGGCGCGTGCGAGAGCAGCCGCGGAGTCGGCCAGCGCGTGCGTGGTGGTACGGTGAAGCGAGATGCAGGGAGGAGCTGCAGGAAGTCGGCAAAGAGGTTGCGTTGGTCGATTGATGGATTATTGATTCCAGACGCGTCAACTTCTAAGCCTATTAGTTTCATAAATGTAGTGAATGTAGTTATCACGGGAGATGGCGATGATTGTCCCCCGTTGAATCGGGAGATCCGGCGCTGTCCTAATGGACTGGGCAGTGACATGTGAAACGCAGGGAACTGTCACTGTGTGGCGATAGACGTGCGCGATTACAAGCAGAACTAAAGTGTAAATAGGGATATAAATATTATTATTGGTGATTAGGTGTACAGTCTGTGTCACAGCAATGGCAATGTAGAGAAACCGAAATAGATGATGAAATTACACCTTTTTACAATTTGAACATGGAATGGCGCTTTCCTAACATTTACCTTTTCAGTGTAATTTTTGTGATTAAATAAGTTTTTTTTAAATTTATTTTTAGAATGTTGGGCCTTGTTTTTCATTGAAAATACAATTCCAGAACGCAATATACACATTATAATAATTTGTGTGTGGTTTTTGACGTACTGTTACTACAAAACGTAAGATCTTTGTCGACATTTTATGCGTTTGAAATTACATTTTAATGAGAAAGAGATTCATTAATTAATTAAAGATGTGAGAAGTATTTCGTGCAATGGAGAACAATTCGGGGCAGAAATTGTTTCACTATTCTGATGTCTGGGCAAGGAATGTGAGAGGGGCCGGGTACCGGGCTGCGGTGGCTTTGGCTGCGCATCGGGCGACGGCGGATGGGTTGCGCGCGTCAGCAGCCGCCCGGAGGGGCGGGGAAGGGCGGCGGCGGCGGCGGCGGCTGTCGGGGAGGGGCCGGGAGGTCGCGGAATCATTCGGAACGCGCTCGGGACGCACAACGCCAGCGGCGCCTGAGCATTCAGCCGCACGCCGCTTGGGGCGCTGAGGCTCGGAAGGGAAGTGTGGATCTGGCGGAGGGGAAGGGAGGGGGAGACGGAAGGACAGGTGGGCTTGGACGAACGAATAAGTCAAAAGAGCGAAAATACGTACGGTGACTTCCAACCGGAGGGAGCAGCGCGGGAGAGCGCGGGGGCTGGAGGGCGACGTGGATGAGCGCGGGGAGACGGCGTCTGGGCCGTGGGTTTCTCCCCGGGCTGCTCGCGGCAGGGCGGCCGAGGGGGGGGGGGGGCAGGGGGAGGAGATGCCGCGTGCATTGTGTTGTGTGCGCGGCGCGTTATGATCGCGGGCCCCTGGGCTCCTGCGAGGGGCGGCGCTGGCGGCGGCGTATATAGGATTAGCTTAGGGGGAGGGGCCCGTGCTTTTGCTTGCAGTGAGCTGTTCTGTGCTAGGAGCTAGTAATGAATTTGCATTACAAAGGAACCATCATAAGGCACGACTACCGCTTGCAATGGGGGTTCTAGTACGGATTTCCTCCTCATCCACTGTTGGTTATAATATTGTACTTGTATTATATGTTCAGACAAAGTATTGTGATGCTGTGGTCAAAAACTGTGATTTGTCGACATAAAGCTCGTATTGTAGCATACCAATGTAGAAAAAGTATATAAACCTTGTAAATGCATGTAGTAATTTACTTCTAAAATGTTGTGTAGTCTTAATTTAAGTGTCCTTCATACCGAAAAATTGATTTAGTCATAAAATCTGTCTATCCGTCTGGGCACCTAAACCTTTAAGAGAAGTTTCGCCAAAATTGATATTCCACACGATCTGGTCGAGGCCGTGCGAATTTGAAACGGATATTTTGATATTTAGAGTACGATATGCTGTGGGTAGACATTTTGAAAATGTTCTCTAAAACGTCTTAATTTTTTCTTTTTTATTCTTCTTTAGATAAAGATTCTTCAAAATACTTAAAAAATGGCACAGGTCTAATTTTCGTTTTCCCTCAATTTTCAAAAACTTTCCCGCAACAAGTCTGGCAGTCTTCTTTTGTTTTAGCGCGTGTTTATACGATGAAGGAGTCTCTGATATAAAACAGGTTTATATTCTAGAAGTAATTTAGATATCACTTCCGATGAAAAAGAAATTCTTTCAGACTTTATATTACCAATACAATTCAAATTTGGCGTTAAATTTGGAGAATGCGAATTTCGATTCGAATCGTGTGGTATCTCAAAGGCGCCCTGGAAAGCGATCGGAGTGGTGCAGAGAAAGCCCAGTCATTTTCTCAGCCAACTGTCATCGGCGGCCTTTCCGAGAGGCTGCGCGACGATCGCGATTAAAAGTTTCCTCGCCACGCCACCCATCCAACCTTCTCCCACCTCACCCCGCGCCCCAACCAGCCCATCGGCAAGTTGTTTATACGAGTGAAGGAGGGTCTCTGATATAAAACAGGTTTAATATTCTAGAAGTACAGGGGGATGGGAGATATACTATTCAAGCTGTAAGCCGATTGACTACAAGGTATAGAAATTATTGTGCTCTTTATCCAATATCAAGTAGATTCCTCTTTTCTACATACTTTGATCTCTTAACTCAGAGTGTACCTTACATATTCTAGGGTTTAAACAAAGTCATAATTTTATTGGCGTGTGTGTTTAAGTGGTTGGAGTTATGTTTTGTGAATTTCGAGAAATTTCGATTCGTGCGGGTGATATCGTGGGTGTAGCAGTTAAACAAGCGACGCTGCTTGGAAGGCGAATCTGGGGTCGCGTGGTCGGACCCGACGAGACGCCCAGCATTTTTCTCGATGTCCTAATCTTTTCCGTCATCCCGGCAACGGCACCTGTTTCATCCGAGACAAGGCTGCGTCTGTATCGAGTTAGATCCGCCAGTATTTATGACAAAGTTACTCCACTGTTACGCAAGCAACCGCACCACTCACCTGCGGGCGCTCAACTTAATTAGCTTTTCGCTCCTTGGTAGCCAATCCTCAAACCCGCTGCGGGTGTCGCGCCGCGGCAGGGGGACTAGACCTGGAGAGGCGAAACACTCAGTCGCCAGGCCGGCGCGCTCGGGTCAGCCCAGATTGGGCCTTGCCGGCAGCTGACCGTCTCTAGAGAGGCCAGACGCCGAATCGGATGCATCTTGGCGCCATCCGCTCGCCTCGGTGCCGCAGCCCGAACTGCCCCACAGCTACCGGCGCTCCCGGCATCCCGCGACACGGAAGTTACATGGACCCACTCACTTGGGACTTCGGGCTGCCTCCGCAGCGCCGCCCCGCGGCCGCCCCGCGCCCGCCGCCGACACGACTCTACGAACTCGTATAAACAAGCGTGCCTTAATCCAGCGCTGTGTCCCTCAGAACGGACCTAATTGTCCAGGATTATGGGGAGGGTGGCCCGTTCCGGGGGAGAAAAGGACCATTCCAATGAAGCTTTTGGGTAATTTCATGTCCGACACGCGCCCTGGGTTTGGGTGGCGGGGTGTCACGTCCGCGCCGCCCCGCGCCCGCCCCGCGCCGCCCCGCGCTCCGCTTCGCCCGCGCAGTAGCCCGCGCCCGCCCCGCGCCCGCCCGCGCCGCCCGCGCCCGCCCGCGCCGCCCCGCGCGAGCGCCCCGCGCCCGCCCCGCGCGCCGCCACGCCCGCTCCGTCCCGCGCCCCGCCCCGCGCCGAGCCCCGCCGCCGCCCGCCCCGGCCCCGCTCCCGCGCCGGCCCGCGCCGCCCGCGCCCGCCCCGCGCCCGCCCCGCGCCGCCACGCGCCCGCTACCGCTCGCCGCTCCCCTGCCGTTCCGGCTCCGCGCCCAGACTTCTTCGCCCGCCCGCCAGCCTGCCCCGCCCCGCGCGCCGGGCGCATTCGCCCGCCCCGCCGG